ATCAACCTAAGACACATGATTCCAATCCACCAGGTGGGAGAAAGATGGGCTATCTCTTCTCATGTGATTTAAAATCTCTGAAAAGACACTAGAGGGTCAGTTATAAGTGGGTTCCAACTTGATGGTACACAACAACAACAATTCCACTATGCTGTCTGTTGCATGAAGGGAGTGGTCTTAGGTCAATTATCATGAACTCCGTGTATTTTTAGTGAAAATTCTTCATCATTTCTGACACACTTGAGTTCACTGCTGCTGTTACTGTCAATCCATCTCATTGAAGGTCTTCCTCTTTTTCAATGACCCTCCACCTTTCTTCCCATTATGACTTTTTCCAAGGAACAGCCCTCCTAGCAACATGCGCAAAGTATGTCAAATGAATCTTTGCCATCTTTGTATCTAAGGAGTACTGTGGTTGCACTTTCTCCAAGACATAGTTGTTTGTCCTTTTGGCCATTCATAAGATATTCAGTATTCAGTATCTATAATACCACAACTCGAATGCATTGATTCTACTTGTTGTTGTTGTTGTTATGTGCCGTCGAGTCGTTTGCAACTCATAGCGACCTATGTCATCTTAATTTACTGTCCAGTTGCATGGAATGTCTCTGAAAGGACCATGGCCTGAATTGTTCACACCACTGTGACCAAAGCAAAACATCTTTTGATTTCTTAATGATACCAAGAGTATTGATTTCAAATACATGACATCACTGATGATTTCAATCTCTTCTCCATCTATTATGATGCTATTTATCAGTCCAGAACTGAGCATTTTCTTTTCTTGATGTTGAGATCTAATCCATATCGAAGGCTTCAGTCCTTAATCCTCTGCAGCAAGAGCCTAAAGTCCTCACTTTTGGCAAACAAGGCTGTGTAATCTTCTTAAGATTGTTGATGAGTCTTCCTCATATCCTGATGTCACATTCTTCCTTATAATGGCCAGCTTCTGGAATGATCTGCTCAGACTGGGTAAGTATGCAGGAAGGATACAATGTTAGCACTTACCTATCCTGATTTTAAACCATGTGGTCCGTACAATAGCTTCTTGGTCTAAGTGTATGCTTGTGGTGTTGTTAGAAGCTATTGAGTCAAGTATGACTCAAAGTGATCCTATTAACAACAGATCTTAACTCTGTCCTATCCTGTGCCATTCTCACTATCTAAGATTCACAGCCCAAGGCTGCATCTGTTAGATGAAACATGTCAATTAGTGTTTTTTTCTTGGTCTTTAGTATATTCTCTTTAGTCTTCCTTCTTCTTTGTCCAGCTTTTGCATACATTTAAGGCAACTAACAATATGATGGTTTGGATCAGGCACACATAACTCTTGACAGGGACATTCTTGTTCTTTAACACTGATTTTTTTTTTACTGCCACTTTCATGGGTTTTAACTATGTATCCAAGTAAAATAAAATCACTGAGAATGTCAAACTTTTATCTATTTTTGTGATGTTATTTACTGGTTCAGTTGTGAAAATTTTTGTTTTTTTTATACTAATATTGTGTAGTCTTTGCTCTTTATTATTAAGTACTTAAGTCTTCTTTACTACCAGTAAGCAAGGCTGTATCATCTACATAAACACACAACTTGTGCAGGAGTCCTCCTCCAAGTCCTCATGGTACATTCTTTTTCATACAGCCTAGCTCCTCAAATTATTACTCAGAATACCAAATAAGTATGGGCAAAAGATTTTTGTTGTTGTTATGTGCCACTGAGTCACCTGTGACTCACATCAACCCTTTGTACAACAGCCCTAAATCCTGCTCTATACTGTGCCAATCTTATTGTCTCGGATACACACCTACCTCCAATACCCTAGTCACTCAATCAATCCATCTCATCGAGGGTCTTCCTCTCTTGTGCTGTCCCTCCACCCTCCTAAGCATGACGTCCCTCTCCAAGGACTGTCCCTTCTCCCTCCTAAGCATGATGTCCCTCTTCAAGGACTGCCTCCTTGCAACTTGCCCAAAGTATGTCAGATGAAGCTTCAGAATCCTTGCCTCCAAGGAGCAGCGTGATTTCAAACTCTCTAGGACGAACTTGTTTGTTCTCTTGGCAGTCCATGGTATGTTGAATACTCTTCTCCAGCACCACAGCTCAAAGACATCAACTCTGCTTCTATCATCCCTAGTCATTGTCCAGCTCTCTGATACATAGCAAGTAATTGCAAAGACCATGGCCGGTAATAGGCACCCTTTAGTCTCCAGACTGACATCATTGCTCTTCAGTACTTTGAAGAGGTCTCTGACAGCAGATTTCCCCAGTGCAATTTGTCTTTATATTTCCTGGTTGCTGGTACCAAGAGCGTTGTTGATTGTGGAGCCAAGTAAACAAAAGGATTCAACCCTAAAATACACTTCTCCTAATTTAAACCAAGTAGTGTTCTCTCATTCTCTTTGAAATACAGATTCTTAAGTCTATGTACAAGTTCTACATGAGCTCAATTTAAGTGTTTAGGAATTGCTACTTTTTTGATGGTTATGCGTATCCATTAGAGCCACAAAGTTCAATACACTGTGTATAAAATACAAGCAAACCACTTTCTGGCACCCTCTACTTTCAGGCAAGTTCTATTTGATGTCAGCAATAATATCTCTGTTCCAAATGATTTTCTGAAGTCACCTGGAACTTCTGGCAGTTCTCTGTTGATGTTCTGCTACAACTACTCTTTAATTATCTTCATCAAAATTTCACTTGCATGAGACACTAATGAAATTTTTCAAAGACTTCCTCCTTCATTTGGATCACTTTGTTTGGAATGGGTACAAACACAGATACCTTCCAGTCTCTTGGCATTGGAGCATAAAAGTCACACAGGAACTCCTAAGTGGTTACCTGAATGTCACAAAATATATGTGCTCCGTGGTTATGAATCACTTGTGGCACATCCCTCAATTGCTGACACTTGTTTCAGTAGATGCTATGCTTTATTACTTAACAACTACAATTATTGGGAGGTTCCAGAATTCTCTTTTCCTGTTGTTCCTTTAGCTCTAGTCTTGTCTTCAGGTACAATAAAATAACACTACACAATTTCCCATAAGACGTCTTTAAAAATATTTAATGATAATTCTTACTTTTGCTATACTGCCTTTGTTCCACACCAAATCTTCTCAGTTGTTTCAATTTTTTTTTCTCTGAAACTTAATTTAGAAACCTGAAACTGTTCACTGGTACTTTTGGGGAATTAACATTGCAAACATACAACAGGAGTGGCAGCAAGAGAGTGGAGTTCCTTGAGAATTCTCCTGTAAGATGAGAGAGCCTACAAATTCAAGTGTCCTGCTTTTTGCAATTGTATAGAAGCAGGCATGTGGAAAAGGCTGGATTCACTGTTTTAATCCAGAACAGACTTCAAATGCCAATGTAAGTTTAATGAATATTATAATGATTTCTTAAAATACTGGACTGATAAGAAACATCATGATAAGTGGAGAGGATATTGAAAGTGTCAACAGCTTCATTTTGCTTGAATCCACAATTAACAACCTTGGTACCAGCATTCAGGAAATAGAGAGATGCACTGCACTGGGAAAATCTGCAGTTAGGGACCCCTTCAAATTATTAAGGAGTAATGATGTCAGTTTAAGGACTAAGATGCATCTGATTTATGCCATAGACTTTCTGATCACTTGCTATACAATTGAGAGCTAGACAATAAATAAGGATGACAGAAGAAAAAATGATGCCTTTGAGCTGTGGTGGTGAAGAAAAGTACTGAACACCCCATGGATAGCCAAGAGAATAGACAGATTTATCTTAGAGAAGGCACAGCCAAATGCTCTTTGAAGGCAAGAATGATGAGGCTACACTTCACATACTTTGGGCATGTTGCCAGGAGGAACTGTTCCTTGGAGGGGGACATGATACTGGCAAAGGGAGGAAGACCCTTGACCACGTGGATTGACACAGTGATTGCTGCAATTGGCTCTAGTGTATCAGGAATTATGAGGATGGCACAGTATAGGACAGGGTTCCGATCTTTTGTTCATAGAGTCACTATGTGTTATACTCGACTCAGCACCTAAAAACAGCAGTCAAGTTTCTCTTTCTTAGAGTTCCTCCACCAGCATCATCAACTGTCACAAATTGTTCCCAAGATAGTGACCCTTCATAGGTTTCCAAGGCTGTAAATCTTTATGGGAAGTGATTGATGACCTTTCTCCTTGGGGTGCCTGGTGGATATGAACCACTGACTTTTATGCTGGCAACAAAACACAAAACATACTATATACCATCAGGACTCCTTTTGTAGAGCTCTTCAGATAAGACCATATGTATCCCTTCCCAAACTTGATTTACATTAAATTCTTATAAAATGCCATACCCATATTTTAGATAATGATTCTTATTTCTTCTTCACAAAGAATGTTAGGCACCATTAGCTTCTCATCATGGATGTATTTTCTATTCAAAGGACGCCTGCTAGGTAATAGAGAGGTGCTTTCCAACCTCCAAGAACTATTCTTACCAAAACGGGCAAGAAAAGATTGTGTCACAGAGGTGTGAAGTGCTATGATGCATCATTTAATTCTTGATAATTAAGAGGAGGCATCAAATGACAAGTGAAGACAATGCAGAGAAAAGGATGATAAATATTGAGGAGATAATTAAATAACAGAAACTCAAGCTGACATTATTGCTCCTCAACAATTTGGAGAGGTCCCTGATTACAGACTTTCCCAATGCAACATGTCTCTTGATCTCCTGACTGCTGGTACGAAGGGTGTGGATTGTGGATCCAAGTAAGATTAAATCATTGTCAGTTTCAATCTTTTCTCCATCTAACATGGTGTTGCCTATCCATCCAATGGCTAGAATTTTTGTTTTCTTGATGTTCAGATGCAATCCATGTTGAATGCTGCAGTCTTTAATCTTCTACAGCAACTGATTCAAGTCCCCCTCACTTTCAGCAAGCAAGGTTATGTCATAAGCATAACAAAGTTTATTGAGGAGTCTTCCTCCTAGCCTGATGCTACACCCTTCTTTTTTTTAAGTTTAAATGCATTTTATTTTTAGACAACGTATGACATATTTTCCCTTTAAAAAATGCCTCCACTCCAAATAAATGAAGGTCAAAATTAAAATGGAGAGCTCAAGATGGTATCTCAGTCCCATTTGTCTAAGTTCTGGTGTGGTGATGAAAAGCAGCAGCCAGATAAGATGACAGGTGATGGATCCAAAGAAGTGCCAAATTTGTTAACATTTCTTCATTTCTAAACCATCCTTAAAGAAAATCATGTATGGAGTCACACCATCCTCACGGTAGTTCAGCAGAGCAACCATGCCATCTGGATCCATGTTTTCACCAATAAAGAACTGGTAGTTTTTGAAATTAGCAAGGATGTGCTTGATCTGTTCTGCAGCCCCTGTCATAAAAGGTTTTACTCTTTCTGGCTTCTGTTCTTCAAGTTTGCCTTTGATTGATTCCATGTAATACCTGATGTACTTCTTGTAGGCTTCTTTTGTGAAGCTGGTTTCCTGCAAGTGATGGTTCATGACGATGTCAACACCAGTGATTACTGTACTTTCGGTTCCTTCACAATCGGTGCCTTCAGCAGAGGCATTTCCACCAATGAGCGAGTCATCAATGTTACCCTCCGTCCTACTGACCATCTTCCCCTCCACCTCCAGGCACAGTCCGTCCGCGATCTCCCGGATTTTGTAGATGTCGGAGAACAGCTCATCGCGGCTGATGAGGTCCCGGTAGATGATCATGATGGCGGCAAGGAGACGATGGCGGTGCTAGCTGAGCAGGAGCTGGAGATCTGAGCGAGCGCGGTGCAGCCAGAGGGGCACTCAGGGGGAGGGGGGAGCGGGCGGAAAAGGCCGACTCAGCCGCTCCCCCTGCTACACCCTTCTTAAGAGACCAGCTTCTCAAATAATCTTAATTTGAGAACGAAGGTGCATCTGATTAAGGCCATGGTCTTTTCAATCACCTGCTATGCTGCTGAGATGTGGGCAATGATTTAGGATGACAGAAGAAGAACTGATGCCTTTTAAGCTGTGGTGCTTGAAAAGAGTGTTGGATGGACTGCCAAAAGGACAAACAGATACATTTTTGGAGAAGCTGCAGCCAGAGTGCTCTCTGAGGCAAAGGTGATGAAGTTTTGTCTCACACACTTTAGGCATGTTGTTAGGGGACGCTATTCCTTTGAGAAGGACATCATGCTTACAAAGGTGGAGATTCAGTATAGGAGACGATGACCCTCAACCATGTGGATTGACAACAGTGACCGAAGCATGGGCTTGACAGTGTCAGAGATTAGGAGGATGACACAGGTTAGGACAGGATTAGATCTGTTGTTTATAGGGTTGCTGTGAGAGGTTATGACAGGGTCCAGATCTGTCGTTTATAGGGTCGCTGTGGGTCATACTCAGCCCTTCAGCATCTAACAATGAACACCAACACAATACAAGACAACAGAAACTATCATATTTACCTGATCTGAGCCTATGTTACCACCATCCAAGGCTCTAATGGACATGTATTCAATTTCAGAAAGATGAGTAATTCATTCACAGTAGCAATGTGACCTAAACAGTCCTGGCTAACATACTGATCCTACTAGCACTACACGGAGGAAATAGTCTGACAGCAGTATGACAGAAGAAATCTATTTGGAAGAAATAGAAGGCTTTGATTTGAAGACACAGGGTCCTAAGTGAAAAAGTGGAGCAGATTCATAAGTTATGAGCTCTAAAGAATAATCAGAGCTTCAGAGTCGACTGGGGAATTGGAAGCAGAGGAGAAAGAGGAGTTCAAAAGAGAACTACCCATTTCTAGCTGAGCGAATGTTAGTGATGACCGTAATGTGAGCATGCATTACAAAGAGGTAGACTTAGCCTGAGAAAAGAGGATGAACAGAATGTTAGAGGTGTTAGGAACCAGGATGAGAAAAGATGTCCATCAGATAGTGAAACTAAATAATGAGATAGAAGTTGAAGTTGGTCTAGATATGCTGAAATCTCTTCTGCACACAATGCATTCGGGATTGCCCATCATTTTAAATATGCGGACACTTAATATGTGTGCTGAGCTCTGTTCAGAACAACAAGCATAACTCTTACTGTGATGTGGACATTATTACTTCAATGCTAGCTGAGATCAAGAAATCAAACAAGGTTTGTAGGAACTACATGCTACAGATGGCTTATATTTTGGTTTGCAGTCAATAAAAATTCTCAGACTTTTTTTCATCTACAGAAAGTTTTTCTGTCTTTTATCTGTATGATAACTTTTTAAAAAATTAAATATAGGATTTTATGTTTATCTCTGTTATATTTAATCATTCTGGTTTTAACCCAGCAGTTCAGCCTGCCAGAAAATTTCATATTGCTAAATAAGGGCTACCAATCAGTTGTTTTCTATATTCTCTGGAGAAACTTTGAGTTAAAAATGTATCATGAAAGATTTCGGTAAGAGAAACAATTTGTTAAAGCAAGGATCAGAGAAGTTGAAACATTAAAGGGAAAATTCAGGATTTAAATTTTGTCATTTAAATTTTCAAATCAACCACCAGTAAAAAAAAAATCTTATATTTAAAAAGATAAAGGCAGAAAGAAATAAAAGGAATAGAAAACAAAAATTGAAAGTATCAATTAAAAAAATCATAAAGTTTCAACTGCGGGAACCATTATTGATTTCTCTAAGGCAAATGGTGGCTTTTACTTTGCATTTCAGGAGCCCTGACAGTACAATGGTTAAGCAGGTTGTGTTAACCAAAAGGTCAGTGACTCAAATCTACTCGCTACTGAACAGGAAGACCAGGTGACGTGCTTCTATAACACAGGTCTGGAAATGCTCCGAGGAAATGCGATTTTGTCAGACAGTCACTATGAATCAAAAGTGACTTTGAAGGCACACAGCAAGAAGGCTGAACTCCAAATGACCTTTGATTTATACTTGCCATGACATTTATAAGCTAGATGAACCCTCATTTATTTTTGTCTTCTCTTTCTATTGGGCCATGAAGAACTTGACAAAAGGGATTATACTGGTCATTACATCCCAAAATATATGTCGTTATGTGGCATCAAGTTGGAACTGACTTTGAGTTGGCAGTGCAACTCCTTATCACTAAAGCCACCAGAATTTCTTTCAAAATATACTGTCTTGTTGTTGTGTGCCATCAAGTTGAAATCAACTCATAGCTGATCCTACAGTATATTTTCAGGGGCAGCAAATCACATGAAGGAGATTATCCATTCTTCTCCCATGGAGCAGCTGGTGAATTTGAACTGCCTGCCTTTTGCAAATCCTTACCAGTGGGCCACCAGAGCTCCCTTCAAAATATATAGCGAACAGTAGATGTTTTGACTTAAAAAAATCAATCAATGAATTTGTGGGGAAAATGAAGAGGAAAGAATTCTGTTGTTTCATCAGTAAAAAGTAGGTAGATCAGGGCCATGCCCATCAGATGGTTTGTGTACTGTGTTACTCTGATGGTAGCAGTTTTACCAATAGTATTTCAAATGTCACCAGAATGTCCAAATTGAGACGGACTGGGAAAAGAGGCCTGGTAACATGCTTCGAACTAGCCAGTGAAACCCTGTGGGTCACAGGAGGACATTGCTGAGTATGCTGGCAGATGATGAACACTATGGGAAGAAACTAAAAAATGCACAGTGACAGTACTAAGCAATGGTTTGCTGGGGTTTATATGAAGTTATCAAGGATCGAAACTAATTCCATAACAATGAACAGCCAGACAGTCAAGATCCAAATGTCTCCCTGGAGGTGAGAAAAGGTAAGTTGTCACACAGACGAGATGGTTGGTATATTCAGAGACCTTGGATCCATTGCAGGTGGGATTCAAGGTCTCAGACCATTTACAGTTAAACATGTTATGAGATGGAATGATAGAGTTATTGGAGTAAAGAGGGGAGGTGTGTCAGAGGCAGTGAGACTAGCTCAGGATAGAACAGGCTTCAGAGCTGTACATAGGGTCGCTGTGAGTTGCAGGTGACTTGATGGCAAAGAACAACATCAGTATCTATTAGACATAGCACTCTGTGCTAGGTACTTAAGTGTTATTTATGCCCATCATCCCAACAAGAGATGCCCTATATTCCCCATTAAACAGATAAGTAAAATGAACCCAGATGACATGCTAAATGACATGTTGCACTGCTAAGCTAAATGTTGGTGGTTTGCATCCCCAGCTGCTCTGCGGAAGAGAGCTGGGAAGTTCCTCCTATAAAGATTTACATCTTTGAAAATGGAGGGAGGGTCACATGAGTAGGACTGAATGGCAACAGGTGTTGGGGATCAAATATTTCAGAAAGAAATCTAAAATCAAAATGGAAAAAACAAAATTGAAGCTTTTACTATGTGTTGTTGAGTTGGAACCACCCCATAACTGGCCCTCCAGCAGGTTTGCAGCGTCTGGAAACCGCACAGGAGGAAACTGCCCATCCTCCTCCCGCAAAACAGCTGGTGGTTTTGAACTGCCTGCCTTTGGGTTGCCAGTGCAGTTATTTCCTCATAGTCCAACAGAGCTCCTTTTTTGAGTTTTTTGGGTGCTTTTTTTCCTTAAACCTAGTTATGCTTAAAATGTAAATTTCCAAAAGAAAAGAAAAATCTGTTGTTTAATATGTATCACTAAGGTATTTTAAAACACTTGAATGCAAATGCCATTATTTTAAAGTCATACTTTTACAGAATTCTTATATAGTAAGAATATTCTCGGGTGCTCTGGCAATATAGAGTTGTGCTGTTAATCCTAAAGTATGAGGTCTGAATTCACAAGTTGTACCATGGAGAAAGATGGGCTATCCCCTCTTGTGTGATTTACTGCCTCCGAAAACTCCCTGCATGGTCAGCTAGGAGCTGGTTCTGACCCATAGTAACAACTAAAAGATAGTGTCTCAAATGCAAAGACAGACACACATGCTGCTGAAGCTGTGCACCAGAGAGCCAAGCTTTACTCCCGGGACCCTAAAGAACACAACCGAACTGCCCCACAGGGTCCATGGCCCAAATTTTTACAGAAGAAAACTCCTGTGACTGATTTTCACTGGAAAGACTAGATGGAGGAATGCCCAATGTCTATGTCACAGACTCCATGTCAGAAATACACCAAAACTCACTGCTGTGGAACAAGTTTCAACTCGCAAAACTCCACTGCTGGGTTTCCAAGACTGAATATTTCAATGGGGAGAAAAATATCCATCCTTCTCCCTCTAGGTCACTGGTGGATTTGAACTGCCAGAGATGTAAGGCCTTTGGGTTAGCAGCAGAATATAAATAGGCTCTGCCATCAGAGCTCCTTACAGATCAACACAGTTGCATATAATCCCCATGCGACACACACACATTAATTAATTTGCTATATATTTTAAAGGGCTTAGTAGTAAGTAGTTTAGCTGCCAACCAAAAGGCAAGAAGTTTGAATCCACCAGCTGCTCCATGGGAGGATGGGCAATTGCCTCCCTTGCAATTTACTGCCTCTGAAAACCACTGGAGGGTCAGTTATGAGTTAGCTCCAACCTTATGGCACACAATAACAACAACACACACACACACACAAACACTCTTATCTCTTCCACTTTAAATAACCAAAGCCTGTGTGAACTGCTTGCTAAATGCAATGGGCTCCATGGAAGTACAATTGTAAATGTTGCTATTTGCAGCTTTCCCTTAGCTTATATACCCTGTGAGGTAAAGTTACTAATCATCATAATGCTTTTGTCACACAGACACTGAGACAGGAGAGCTAAAGAATATTTTTCAAAGTGCCTAGCTGCCCTTTTAATTCCTTTTAATTTTGAAAGTTGTCTTTCATTCACAGAAGTGAAGTAACTATGCACTACCGACTAA